AGAGATACAAGGGGAGAGTTGTGAATGAAGAGGGTGTTGTGAGTCAGATAAAATGGATTTAGTCCATTTTTCACATGAATCCATGTGCCTGTCCACCAGAATATTAACAAGCTGGCAAAGTGGCACGTTGCTTACCCTGCTGACAACCTTTAACATCCTACGTAATAAGGTATAGTCTTTTTTCAATAGCCCAAGAAAGACTAAGGGGGAACAAAAGAGAATAATAAGTAAGGGTTGGGTTATTCCAGAATATCTTAACTTCTTGATGTCGAAAGTAAGACGGAATATTTTCTTAGAAATCATCAAGATATGAGACGACCAGGAAAGATCAGCAGACAGGATGACGCCTAGATATTTAATTTCTGACTTGGTCTCTATTTCAGTGTCATCTATGTTGCACACCTCGTGAGTGTTAACCAGTTTATTTAGGTCAGATTTGTGCCTAAAGGTGAAATTAACTGTTTGGCATTTGGAGGGGTTTAAGGTGAGACCGTTTTACTTGGACCATTGGCTGATTTCTGATAAAAAGCCATTTAGTTTAGAGCAGTCACTTTGACATTTGGCAGGTAAAGATACAGTTAGGTCATCAGCACATTTGACAAAGTTAATGTCATTTGAAGATGGTAGGTCATGTAGGAAGAAGGAAAAGAGAAGTGGGGAGAGTACAGCCCCTTGGGGGACACCAGCTTCAGTGAGCACAGAAGAGGAGGATTCGCCTTTGTATACGGTGCACTGCATTCTGTTTGAAAAGTAGGAATGCAACCAGTTAGTGACCCAGGACTCGGTTTGTGTCATGGAGAGCTTATTTAGCAAGAGACTTCTAGGTACAGAGTCGAAAGCAGAAGTGAAGTCAAGAAACGTGCAGCGGACATATTTGGCACCTTTGTCTAATGATGAGACAATACTGTTGTGTAAGACGGCTGCAGAGTCTAAAGTACTCCTACCCTGTCTGTAGGCAAATTGTTTGGGGTCTTTGAAGCTTTTAAGGGAGGGTTCGAGTTTAAGAAGTACTAGTTTTTCCATGAGCTTTAGAAACGGGGAAGTGATGGCAATGGGTCTGAAATTTACGTTCTTGCTATAGTAGATACCTGGAGGCAATCTTTAAAGAGCTTTCCACCTAGGTTACGTATTGGTTGGCACAAATGAGTTAGCATGGCGTATCTGCAATCTTTAAGGAAATCACGTCCCACTAATAAGTTAACAGCTGATAGCTGTTGTCTAAATTGTTGTCATTCCCTTTAAAATAAGAATCAGCTGAATATAAAAGCCAGAGTCGTGAAAGCAAGACAAGCTTTCATTATTCTCAAGTCTGCGTGCAGGTCAACAGCACTCAGCATCAAAAATCAGATCCGGATTTTCAACTCTAATGTGAAGTACGTGCTACCTACTATACGAATCAGAGACTTGGCCATCGAGTCATAAAGAGCATCTCAAACAAACTTCAGACCTTCATTAACAGTTGTTTTCGCTCAACACTACTCAAGATCAGATGACCAGTCAGAAAAGATCAGCAACAGGGATCTCTGGCGATGAGGGAACCAACCAGGAACCGATTGCGAAACAAATAGGGAGGAGGAAATGGAGATGGATTGGCCATACACTGAGGAAACAAACCATCAAGTGACATCACTAGACAAGCCATTGCTCGAGTGGAACTCGAAAGGGAAGTGGCGAGTTGGTCGTCAGTACGAGGGTGATTTGGGGGACGTCATGTGAAGAGGGGATGAAAGCATGTGGGCAGACTTGGAGCCAGGTGAAAACTCTAGCAGAGAAGGCAATGGAGTCGCACGGCTGAAGCCCTATGTTCCTCTAGAAATTAAAGCAAATAATAGTAATAATAAAGCTTTCATTTCTTCTTCAAGTTACCTCCTCGAAGTTACCCTTGGACGACCAACTCGCCACTTCCCTTTCGAGTTCCACTCGAGCAATGGCTTGTCTAGTGATGTCACTTGATGGTTTGTTTCCTCAGTGTATGGCCAATCCATCTCCATTTCCTCCTCCCTATTTGTTTCGCAATCGGTTCCTGGTTGGTTCCCTCATCGCCAGAGATCCCTGTTGCTGATCTTTTCTGACTGGTCATCTGATCTTGAGTAGTGTTGAGCGAAAACAACTGTTAATGAAGGTCTGAAGTTTGTTTGAGATGCTCTTTATGACTCGATGGCCAAGTCTCTGATTCGTATAGTAGGTAGCACGTACTTCACATTAGAGTTGAAAATCCGAATCTTATTTTTGATGCTGAGTGCTGTTGACCTGCACGCAGACTTGAGAATAATGAAAGCTTGTCTTGCTTTCACGACTCTGGCTTTTATATCCTCGTCAGGTCCGCCTGTAGTTGAAACGATGCTTCCCGAGTTTGTAGGTGAAGGAGATTGTTTCTCTCAGGTTCCTCCCATTTATGCTGGCTGATTGTTGTCTGTTGTTGTTGTTGCTGTCGGTGTTGGCCAGGAATCTTCATCACCTCTGTTTTCGCTATTCACATGAAGTTCTTCCTATCTTTGATGCTTCTTCTGTGGCCAACGTGTTGCTTTCCACTTTCATATCTCCCAGTTTGTGTGAAATCAGACATATATCATCGGCGAAGTACAGACCCTCCAATTCTGTTTTGTGTGAGTCCATTTTATGCCTGTTTCCTCACTGCCCGTTGTCTGTCGCATTATCCAATCTATTGCAATCAGGAAGATCATTGGCGATAGTAGACAGCCTTGCCTCACTCCCGTCCTCACTTCAAAGGCTTCCATAAGTTTCCCATTGTGAATCTCTTGGCATGCAACATTGCTGTATAACTTATGCAATTGTCGATGGCACCCTGTGGTAGCGAAGTATTTGGCAAATGACCTCTCGATCGACGCTGTTGATCCCCATTTTATTATCTAAATCGCAACGGTCTAGAATATGACTTCGGTTATATTTCATGAAAGTTAAACTGAAAGCATTCGTTCAATGTTTTCAATGACTCATATTGTTTTGAACTGTATCAAAATCATCTCCAGTGAGTATATGCATCACAATGTAGATGTAGAACGTAGGTGCAATGACCTTGAAATATGTCATACGTAAAATATTCAAAGGCCTCACTTCCGCAATGTGGTCGATTCAATGACATAAACGTATTCACTTGTTTATATAAGTGTAAAACTTGGACACTGTGGTAGTAAATGATTCCATATTAGTATGTTTATTAGGTATACCACACAGTGAAACAGTATTGTTTAGTGGATGACAATGTTTTGAACCCAATTCACTATTGTTCATAATCATACCAATTAATTATGATCACAGGAATTCGAAACTTGCGTATTATAGTTTTCTTTATGCTTGGCTAGTCTGACTGCACTTATTCACTACTTCGATCTGTGTATCTGACCTGATAGTCATTGAAGGGTATTAGATAAACTAAATTGTTTTGTTCAGTTGGCTTCACAGGATCCGTTAACCAACAAAGCTTGTTTTATTCCTGCTAGCCTTGTTAAGAATTCTTCCTAAGGTTTCGGAATTCTTATCAAGGTAGGAACAAAGAATGTTGCTGACATTCAAACCCACAAACTCAATTAGGAACAAGCCTTGTTGGTTAAAGGGCCTGCTAGTGGAGCCTTTAAAACAAAACAATTTAGTTTATCTAATACTCTACTGGACTGATTGTCAGGTAGAAAACATAGGTCAAAGTGGTAGAACAGGTGAAGTCAGACTAGCCGAGCATAAAACCTAGCAAAATCTAGATTAGTTGACCAGAATTAGATAAGAAATTTAGAGAATAGTTCAACTATAGCACTGACTACATGCAATTACACACAACCATACAACAGAATTGAATAAGAGGACAGTTCTAAAATCTAACTGATATAGCAGGGCGGAATGAGAGATTGATAACTGAAGCTTTATTAATCGAATTAACTGCAAACAGGTGTAATAGGAATGGTTTAACACCTGTCCATCTGGACATCTAGAAAATTCTACTAACCCTACGACGACGAATAGCAGAGAACAAAGAAGACTATAAAACTCAAGTTTCGAAGTTGCGTGATTATAACTGATTGGTATGGTTATGAACAATAAATTGTGTTCGAAACTTTGTCATCCAGTGAATAGCAATACTGTTTCACACTGTGTGTGATGTATCTAATAAACAAACTAATATGGTATTCACTCGTATTCACAGTGGACAACTGAAGTGGTGATTCTTTGAAGTAAATGTTGGCAAAAGGATTGTTAAACCAAAGTGATCTCAGCCCAAAATTAGCAACGAAATATATCATTGGTAAATCTTCTAGTGTTTACACTTCCCGTGTTACTCGAATGTCTTATGATTGTACTGCTAAAAGATTTACTTCCTCTTCAATGTCAAACTCTTCAGTGTGTGTTCAAAAAATCTTGTATAGGTTCTTCTCTCTATTCTTGGAGTGTATCTTCTTTCACAGCTACAAGTGAACTGATATGGACAGTTGTCCCTAGCAAGGGAAGGCTACCTTTCGACTTTTAATCCGCTTATCCAAAATGTTATTTGATACAGATGAATCAAATAAGCCGAAGGGAATCTTCTTCTTCAATCATCTGTTGGTCATCGCTAAAACAATATCACCTCTAAACGAATACAGGCGCTTTCCTAACTGTAGCGGGCTCTATCTTTTGTTCGTGTTCTTACAAAATCTGGTCACTCATCTTGTAGGAAGACCGTAGTTCCGTAGACATATTTCTAGCGTCTGCAGCTCTTCTTATAATTTGTCACTGGCGAATACTATTCTAGCCCCAGTGAAATAATGTTCTGACTAATGCTGGTTTGTAAATGATCGGTCGCATTTTCCTTGAATGTCAATAAAGTGAAGTAACCAGTGATAAATAAACACTCTGAGTACCACAACTTCAGGTATTTCATGGAAACTAAATCATTATTTATTTATACGTAAAAATTAATTAGTTATTACAGTAAAATAAATGACATTTGTAGTAAAGATAGTGAATAAGCGTGTCAATCAAAACATTCAACATTATCAAACGATCGAGTTTCAAAGGTTTGAGTTTATCCGTCTAAAAAAGGAAGGAAGAAGACAAAAACAGTGTGAAAATCAAAACAGAGAGTCATAAAATGTATTTATAAAATTGTTTTCCATGAACTGACCCTCCTATTCATCATTTTAATATACTTGGTTAGATAATCAAGAGTATAGAAAAACTGATTTGTTTAAATTTGTAAATGAATATAGTGGCTATTCATGACTCAGGAATCTTAAAGAACAAATACAAGAATAATTTTACAGGCTGAATGGGTAAATGGTCGTTTTCTTACTTTTCGGATAGAAAGTGGTACAATATATGTAGTGGGGGAATTTATCTACCGTTTTTACTTACGCTAGCCCACCTTCCTTATTGGTGCTGATCCTTCTCCTTTTCTGTTTTTTCCTTCTCAAGGGACTAGTCTCATTCTGATGAAGCTAATGTTTTTAAATGGGCCGATGATCTGACTGCTTCCATATAGACTACTTCCAAGTCCAATTGTTCTAAAGTGAACAACGTTCAATCAAAAGTTTGTCGGCGGTCCTTTTCAGATGGTTTTAGGCCGATTCTCTACAGTTGTCGGGTTGTTAACTCCACCTTTAGATGCAGACGGGATTTAGAAGAATTGACTGACTGATTTCACATTTGTGTTGAGCAGAGTCCGAATCGTGTTCTTTATGTTTGTTGAGTGTAAGAGATTTCCAAACTGGTTGTAGGCTGATGAATGCTTATCTTGCCTTTGTAATTGTGTCTCGCCGGTTTCGACATCTTCGTCCGTTCCGCCTATGGTCATAAACTGTGCTTCCTGGCTGCATAAGCGAAGGAGGTCACCTTTGTCAAACATCTCCCTTTAATGGTGGTTGATGTTGGTATGTTCATCAACTCCATCTTCTCTATGTTTGCTTGCAGTCTTGTCTTCGCTGCCTGCCAGCTTCTTCAGCCAGTTTGTTGGTTTTAACCGGTGAATCTTTCAGTTTGTTTGACATCTACGAAATCCAGATCTTCTAGAGCCTTCTTATAGGTCAGCCCAACATATTCCAGTCTTCTTGCAGCATCGACTGGATGACTGACTTCTCAAGGTCAGACTTTCACGAGCCCGAAACGTCATTTGGCCTCTGCAAATGCCACGAAGAATAGGTTTGCTTTTTTATATTTCTTCGCATTTTTATTGCTTTTCTTGTGTATTGGAGTTTCCGTAGCAGTTTGATTGGTTTTTTATGGAAGGGTTGCTGGCCCCACGCCCTACTCTCCCACTTTTCTCAGGCCTGAGTCCAGCTAGAGAACTAGCAAGCTAGTAAACTCGACGTGGTTCAGTTTAGCTGCTTTTTTTTCCTTCACGTTCCCCAGTGGAACATAGAGCTTCTAGCTAGTGACTTGAAGTTCCTGTAGCAATCTTTAATTTTTACAGGATGGAGTTGCTAGCCTCATGCCTAACCTTTCCTCTTTACCAGCATTATTTCTGGCTTAGCCAGGTAAAAGAGTGCGTCGGCCGGGGATGAAAGCTCGAACCATGTGCGTGGTCGGCTAGTGTCCTAACCGATATGCCACCGATGCAAGTTCAACTGCTAATAACTAATTGCTTAAATACTCATTGAAAGCACATGATAGCTAGAGGAATTAACGTCTGAACAAAATATCATGTCTGCTTCTAAATAATGCTATCATAACAGCAATGTGCATTTATTCGTGATACATAAACCGACCTGATTATCATCAAATTACCTCATAATTTATCAGAAAGAAAATATTGGTTCTAAGTTTATGAGTGGTCACGAGATGTTCAAAAAGTATAACATTGTTTGTGCCAATATTTTTCATGCTAATGCATTTGAGGAGGATATTTTAATAAATAACTTACTTCCAATCCCCATCGTAGCACCACCGTGTGCCTGAAATCCATTTTAAATTGTTTTTAGTAGAATGCAATAAAAATAGCCTACTTCAAGTGTAACGGAGATTAGATTTATTTTTCCGTAAAACTGCATACTACTGATTAATTGAGATGAGTGCATGTATACTACACATATGAAGTAGTAGTGTGGTGAAAGCTGACTGTTAGTCAAATATGGTGGACAGTGTTTTACGTCAGTGTTTATGTCCCCAATATTGGTCGTGAGAAAAATCAGGACAAAGGCTTTACGTAGGCGGATACAGTTAACATATAGATGATCTGACATTCAAGAAACAGTCAAAAAGAGATGCAAGTTTAACTTTCTGTGAGAAACAACCAATCAGAAGACAGTGTTTTCTGCTAACAATAACCTATATAATGTACATAAAAATCTATAAATATGTGTTGATTTCCCTAATAAATGATCTGTTGCCTGGCCCTCATCCTCTGTTGTTACAGTGGTACTCAGTAGCCTGCCAAGTCGAAGTGATCGAAACACGGGACCACCAGTTCGATTGTTATGTGCCAGACTCATTATCGATGTACTTGATTTGACGTAGTTGTAGAGAGAAGAATCATTTGAAACTACCTAATTTCTTGTGTTATATTGCTTTTCTATAGTTCATAACATGTTTAATTTCAGAGTAATCCCTTGAAATCTAAGACTCACTTCTCCTACGCTAATACATGGAAACGCTTTTTTCTTAATTAGTCTTAAGTTCTGTTAACATTCAATGCATTTATTCAGACATTCTTCGTTTTACTGATATTACATCCGAAAATTTCTTCCCTCATACATGGAATTTGGATACAAGAAGTCAAGCATCCTGAAAATGTAAATGAACTCGATATTATTATTATATCATAATTATTGTTCCCTTTAGTTCCTGGAGGAACATAGGTCTTAAGCCTTACGTCTTTATTGCCTTCAGTTCTCTGCCAACGTTTTTACCTGTCTCCAGACATCTGATCACACCCTTGCATCTCCTTTTCACATTGCATCCTCCATGTCACCCTCATACTGACGACCAACTGATCGCTTCCCGTTCGGGTTCCACTCGACAGATTGCCTGGCCTGTGATGCCATTTTTGTTTTTCTCAGAGTATGGCCAATCCACGTACTGCATTTCTTCCCGTACATTTGTAGCACAATCGGTTCCTGTTGGGTTGGTTCACTATCAGAGATCCCTCACTATTGTTGATCTTGTCTAACCGGCCATCTGATAATGAGTAATATTGAACGAAGACAGCTGTTGATGAAGGAGTGTAGTTTGTTCGAATTGCCCTTCGTGACGCGGCGCGGTGCCAAGTCTCTGTTCCGTATAGTGAGTAGCAGTGACTTCATATTTTCATGCTGGATGCCGTTGATCCCTCCACACAAACTTCTGAGTAATGGAAGCTTGCCTTGCTTTCCCGATCCTCTCTTTGATATCCTCATCAGCTGCGTCCACCTGTGGTTGAAGTGATGCTACCCAGGTTGGTAGGTGAAGGAGGTTGCCTCCTTCATATTTCTCTCATTAATACTGGTTGTTGTCTGTTGTTGTTGCTGCTGAAAATGTTGTTGGACAGGAATCTTCATCACCTCTGTTTTCTATATGTTCACCTGATATAGTCCACAAATACAGTTCCTGCAAGGATATATATATATGCAGTTGAAGAGGTCTTACTATTATTTTGAGAATCGGTTAAGTAAAGCGACTTGTTTGATTTGTAAGCCGTAAAGCTTCACAATCTTTATAATTAGCTAATTGATGCGGGAACTTATTTTCACACTCACGACTACTCAAGATACATAAAACTCAGAATTTAGGTATTATACCTGTCGCAAACTGGCAACAGTTATTCTCATAATACTAGCTTCTTGAAGCGACTTCTTTCTTGGAAGCATTCTTAACGTAGCTGCCCGATTTTATTCTCCTGCACTGAAGCCATTGTGTACAGTAGTTAAATGTATTAAATGTAATGAATTTAAACATTTTGTATTACATATTTATATACCAATGTGCAGAACAGTTCGAAAGAAAGTTGATAATCTCGTGCATCCCCCAAGTTTCAACCTGTTTATTCAAGAGAGTCTAACTGATCTTTCATAATTCATGAAGTGCAGTTAATTCATTATTCAGAAACTCCCTGTGATTTCAACTGATCATATAACGCCTGTTCCTGTTTAATTAATTAATTGTGATTTATCTGGTTAAAATCCAACTGTGATAAGAAAATAAATCAAATATTTTCTCACAATTATATAAATTAGGGTTTTCTGGAATGTAACAAAAGCGTTCAACCAAAATTTATGTTTTAGTAAGCAATATACTATAATCAACACACAATTTGTAAACAGCTGTGGTGAGAGCAGGCTGCAAGCCAATTGGTAGACGTTAATCTACGCCAATGTCTAGGTCACTAATATGGGCCGTGAGAAAATATGAGCAAGGCTGATTTAACAACCAGTCACAGCAAACTTAACGTGGGCAAATATGATTCGCAAATAGATGGCTCCACTTTTCGATGGTTACCCTAAACAACCAATCAGAAGACTGCGTTTGTCTACTTGAATAAGCTATAATAATCCATGGGAAATATATAAATACGTGTTGGTTTCAGTAATAAAACGATCTGTTGCCTGGCCCTCGTCTTCTGTTGTTACATTGGGTGTCGCTGCCTACCGACAAATGGGAAGCCTTTGCCCTGCAGTTTTTGATGGAGACATATGGATCTTCGGGCAGCATTATATATATAGACTTGAGGTGAGAGAAATCAGATTAATATAGTAGTTGTCTTATGACTCCTCATGTGACTTATCAAGTGATCGAAAGACTATAAAATTTCATCTTTTTATCACACTGGTCCTGGTCAGATCACCAATCAATCAAAATAAACTTTTTCCAACCTAGCCAACTCGCCTACCAATCAGAAAATCTATTTCTCACTACCTTGAGCCTACTTTAATGTGGTAAAAAATATATAAATATGACGTGTTCTTCCTAATGAAGACCGTATCCTAACAGAAACAGGCAAGTCTTTGTCTTCTAATATTGATGTGCCTTAATGAAGTGAAAACTACCATAGGTGAATAGGTTTATCTCGCATATACGTTGAGTTGTTCATTGCTTCAGTATTAGCATCACGAAACGTCACTCCACTCGGTCATATGAACTGTCAATGTGATCATATCATCATGAGCTGATATCGGTTAGATAAACATTAGAAAACCTGCCAGAGATAATTGGACAGTTGTTTATCTCAGCTTAGGACTCTTGGACAGTACGCATCCACCATTAGGGTTCGAACTTGGCTACAAGGCGAGCTCATAGACCACCAAACCACTGGAACCAGATTCATTGGCCAATCCATGAATCCCCACATCTGCCAATTCATGACATAGTACGACCACTAGCTTATGTCTTTGGCCTGCTTTACCCTACTGGTCACGACTTCCCTATAGAAACCTACCTCAATAGAACCTGAACAGCGCAGAAGTTGAAGTTTATGGGCTGGTCAATGGATCTGTATCAGTGGCTAAATGGTTTATGAGATCGCCTCATTGTAACTGGATGGACCTTGGTCCAAACCTCTGTGGTGGGTGCGTGCTACTCATGAGTCTCAAACTGAGACGAAACAGCTGTCCAGTACTCCCAGGTGTTTCAATGGTCCCTGACTGATATCAGCTAATGATCAAGTCCTATAAACAATCAATCAAATCATTATTAACCAATACTTAGAGATCATATCAATTAGCGACAGGTCTATAACAAATTGGCGACAAAGATTATATCACTAGGTTAGACGCTCTAATCTGATTTTAAAACGCCAGTGATTTTTTGCTCATTCTAACGTAAAAAGAATTTCTTTCCTTTTCACGGGATAAGAAACATGATCTCAAATTATCACTTCCCCGACAGTATTAGAGAAATGAAATAGCTGAGAAATCGGTGCTACATTATGCTGACTAAAATAACTGAATCTCTGGGTGAAACATTCTTTGCCAACTGAAAAAATCGTCCAATAAATTCGACTACTTACAATACTCTCAAAAAACACATGCACAATACTATATACTACTGACTGAATAAGTAGGCCTATACCGTTCACGTTAATCAGGAATGCTCAGTAGCCAACCAGATCGAAGTGGTCTACATGCCGAACTTGGAATTCGGCAGTTTGGAACTGAGCTCGTCGCCAGTGTAGTCGGCTTGACTCAGGCCAGAAAAAGAAATCAGATTTTATCCTCGGATGTTCTGATAATAGACATTCAACAAATGGATGCAAATAAATTTGTAGCCAGGAATGTTGCAAACTTTTCTTGAAGTAGAAAAATGACTCTCAACCTCTTTATATCCTTTTAGTATGTGGAGAAGTATAATGATCATGTCAAGAACTACGTGTATAAACGTATTACTCATTCTGTTCAGGTATCAGTAATAAAATAATAGAAGTTCGATAAATGTGTGTTTCTAGGGTGTTTTCACGACTTACCACATTCTCTTCCAGTTTTATCTGGTTTTTCCACTGAAAATATTTCAAAACCTGATAAAAACTCATACTAGTATTCGTCAACACGCGTGCTACACGGAATGTGGCGACTTGAACTTCCGCACATTTGTGCAAAGTTCTATGTCGAAACAGACAGACAGACAGAATAATATTAGTGACAGGTTTATTCTAAACAAGGTAAATATAATGTAAAGAATTTTCAGCGGAGTTTATTGCATGATATTTTCTCTTCGTCCAGAATCTTCAAATAGACGATCAGTTGACAGTAGATTGAGAATAAGAAGGGTATGTTCTAGTGATACAATCGATGGGGATTTGGGGCGACTCAGAGAAGTTCGCATAGAGAATCGATACCCCACAAGAAATATCGAGAAAAACATAAGGTTGAAGCAAAAGCTTGAAAGAACCCAGAATGTGGTGCCGAAGAAACTGCTGTTCATGAGCGTTGAATTTAAAGGTGATACCGCAGCTGAGATCCTGGAGAACTACTTATGTAGATCAATGAGGAAAGCCTTTTATAACGCTGTGCTACAGGTCAATTTCTGCGGCCGACAAATGATCAATGGATGTGTGAAGGATAAACTGTCACTTTGGACTGGCCACTTCACTGTGTGTGTTTATAATGCACCTGCACCCTTTGATATCTCTTCAAATGGATACAAAAAGCTTACACTTTCGAAACATATGTCTGAACATTATCCGGTATGGTTAGCAGAAGGACAATGAAAGACTGTTAATAGCTCAATTCTCTAGCACTTGGTGAGTTCTAGCCATGCAGCTCCACCACAATGATCTTTCAAACATATTTACAAGGTGAAGCCGAATTGTAAAAAGGGCGTCAGGTTTTGGCTTTTGTGTATGGTGCAGGCACTGGCAATTCATCAATACAGCTCCTAACTCTGCATACAGAAAGCGTTTGTCCCGTCTCTTATTCCACCTTGGTCTTAAACTCTTCACTAGTCGTTCCCTGTAAACAGTTTTATTTTTAATTTTCAATTTTAATTTTAGTTTGCTTTTACTTTATTCATTAATTCACAATTATCACTCTCATATTTTGCTTCTGTACGTTTTCACATCCTTTTCACATTTGTTAAATTGACACTCAACTACCACCTTTATTCTATCAAATTTATAACTTTGTGCCGTTGAGTATCACGTAATTTACAACTCTTAAATTTCACTTCTAAAGCCACTTATGATTAATTATATCAATCATGTCACCCCCTATTACTCAATAATAGACCACTATACACTTTTGGTAAGTATAAATACGACTGTACAGCCTCTGAAGATGATTTAGTCGATAAAGAAAATTTTCTTCGCTGTATTAGTCTTCTGTTTTCTTCATGACAACAGAATGATCGTCTCAAGTGCTGCGATAGGCATTATGTTAATCAAGGTTTTCTGTAGCCCAGGTTTTAAGCAGGTAACGCACGTTAAGATCATAAGAATTAAACTTAAATATTTCAAAAATACCCATTTATTCATGAGTAAAAACACAGTTTTTGTTCAGCGAAGAAATTTCTTTTCAACGACTTTACTTTCAGGTTGTACAGCTTGAAAATGAAGTCGTTGAAAAGAAATTTCTTCCCTGAACAAAAACTGTGTTTTTAAATATTTCGAACGTTTGTTCCACATAAGTCATGATATTTGAGCATAACAACATAGGACAGTTTCAAAATGCGTATATACATATACTCACTCCAGCGAGTGAAACTTGGGGCACTTACCACAGCCCACTTTAGGAGGATCTGCAATTATTTGGAAAAAGTGCACTGATGAAGATAAATTATAATAGTGAGAAATCTGCAGAACTATTTCCGGATTGAAGGTCAAATTAACTAGACTATACGATTAGGGATTAAAATCGATTCATAACAGAATAAACAGGAAGTTCGGATCAAAAACATGGTAGGATCACAAGCATCGAGATAATCCACTTTGTGTTCAATTGAGAATTCAAAAGGTCGTCATAACAAAACAGACAGGAATCTTAGATACAAAAGTATTGTAATGACAATAGGGATTAGAAAGACATAATGGTAACAGTAATAAACATGAAAATTGATAGGATAATCACTATTGAGAGAAAAGACTCTTTATGATCGCCATAGTGATGATAATGACACATTTCTTCTAAATACGTTGCATAGGCTTGAACGTTTGGATCGCTAGTGCCTCAGCTATCCCTGGATTCTTTGATCTCATTCTCTTTTGAGAGATATGATCGGGTATTGTATAGGACTTGTAAGGATGTTTCAAATGAAACTGAATGTGCTATGTTCACCGGATGTTTTAGTACCAGGCTGTATGTACACGTATGTTCGCTATTTGCTAGCTAGCCTGGATAGTGTCACGAAGCTTGTTCTACCAGATGACAAATGGTATGGCCAATATACTTCGCTCCACAGGAGCAAGTGAACTAGTATGTTCATATTGAGGTGGAACACTTTGACAAGGGGTATCGCGAAAGCATATCACAGTTTAGATGAATATCACTAGGATACAATCGGAAAGAAAGCTTTTCCAACACCATATGCTACACATATAACAGCATGAAGTCAAGAAGATTTAGTTTAACACTTCAAAGCCTAATGCTTAGGTATGACTATCAAACAATATACACTGCCACAGAGTAGCAAGACTTCATCATAGGAACTGATGAATTTACATGAGTATGCTTTGAGATCACCATGAAATAAAATGGTTGTTTAATTCACCAGAAACACTTAAAATACTAAGACGGCCATTAGACACAATATTCTTAGCTGATTAACTTTAGTATTTATCAGTTTAAATTGAAAGTGCTGTTATTTGCTAAATACACATTTTTCCTTACATGATTTGGCGCAGTAAAATAAACCTGAAAATATAACAATAAATAAAATTAAGTGTCTCGTTCATAGAGTGAGGATGCTCTTCTTAAACGACTCCCTCGATGAGGAGCTCAAGATTAATAAAGAATCAATTAGTTAAAAAATGGTCACTGAGATAAGTTCATTCAGAAAAATAAGAGTTAAACACAAAAGCATACCAGTAGGTCAACAGCTGCAATTAAATATATTCTTCATAAACCTGCGGTTCCGCGGTGATAACATCGACGAAATAGTAACACAGGACCTAAAGAATACAGTTAACATAGCATTCAGTGCAGAAGAGGTTCGTTGTCTTCTCCCTCTCACCCGTATTTCACGTTCGAGAAATAAGCATAAACCACTTGGTTTTGCCTCCTTTATATTTGTATTTATCAGTTTTAATGCTACTGAGGAGCCAGCCACATTGGACCTACAATTAGACAGGTTCATCATCGTATTTCCGAACATCATTCTGCAGTACGGTTAAGCAAGGGACAAACAAGATCTATTCGTAGCTAGTTCTGCTTTAGTTATTAATCGTATTCCTACTAATCCTAATTTTGCTTTGCGAGTTCATCTTTGATCAAATATAGTATAATTATATTTTAATAGTTTACACACAATGATAAGTTTTGTTATTGGTAATATTTCGAGCAAAATTACTGCCCGTGTTCACACCAACTGTTGGAATTGTTTTATTCAATTGTTTTAAACAATTCCAACAGTGGTGTGAACACGAGCAGTAATTTTGCTCGAAACATTACCAATAACAAAACTTATCATTGTGTGTAAACTATTAAAATATAATTATACTTTATCTGATCTAACCCACAATGCTCAAACTTTTTACTGATATTAATTCATCTTTGATATATCACTGAAGCCACAGGGATCTACCCGTGGTAGAAGTCAAACCTATGTGTTCAGGAGAAATTCCTACAGCCACTTTTCTTACCTTGACCATCGTTACATGAATGTATAAACCGGACTATTTCGCCGCCTCCCTCTAAACCTTTTAAAAATTATAATTATCCAAATTTCTTTATTCCAACTTTAATTGCCTATTACGTAATCGACTTGGACATTAGCTTATTCCTTAATTACTCAATCATTTTGCACTGCAAATAAATTGTTGTAACACACAATGAGAATACTAATAACTTATATTCCCATTGATGACCTAATCAGAAGTGTCAAGAGTAATATGGACGAGACTTCGTCTTTCCCACTTACCAACTTTCATCAGAATATTATTATTACTTTTATTCTTTAGCGTTCCTAGTGGAACATAAGGCTTCATGTTTGAGCTTTGAAGTTCCGATGGGAGTGACGTTATTCTCGTTCACGGGGTTGTGTTGCTAGCTTCTTTTACAACCCTCCAACTTTACTGGAGTTGAAGTTGCCTCATAGAGGTTTAGGGACCCGTCAGCCAGGGAGAGAACCCATGTTCATATGTATGGTTAGCCAGAATCCCAACTCACCAACACTGACTCACATTTTTAAAAATACTATTCAGAATAATTCTTAACATTGAAACAAAGAACAAAAGTTCTTCAAGGACTGTTCAACGCGGATTCAGTATAATGTTAGTAGTTTCAAGAACTAAATTCTCTCTGAGTGTTAGTCTTTGTAATAGCGCAATATTCAAAGCTGTGTATACTGGAATATGTAAAATATACAATAATATAACTGTAACGACTTTTTTCTGGACGAAATGTCTACAGAATGTGCGGGATTCCATGGTATTTTCTCATCGCCTATGATTTTGAAGTAGAATAGTAATCCACAGGACATCACATGACTCAGTTTTGCTCTATATGTAGCATTAAAGCAATCCCTGATAATGCATTTCCTCTGAGGAATGCACCAGAGTACGTTGAAAGTCAGTTGAAATTGTGCTTGAGTATATTTTGCTGCTCAAGGACATAATTGAATGATCAAAGCAATAAGGAAATATGGAAATTATGACGTCTTGTCATGGGTAGGAATTCAGGTAATCGATTAATATCCTCAGTATTTTGCTTAACTATTGCACAATAATGAAATGTTGATGATCCATTGTTGTTTTATGATTACAATTCTGTACAAGTGATGTCACTGCTATGCCATGTGAACTGTTCGACCTTCGATTTTCAACAGGAAGTGTGCGGTTTGCTTAATACTTGCCACCTTAATACTCATCTTCGATCACTTTTTTAGAATATTCTATTTTATATGCATGTATTGCTTGCGGTTGTGATTTGGTTAACTAATTTTGTTGTACAGTATGTGGACTGTATAGCTGCCTAGTGGAATCGTTGAGGTAACTGTGTGCACGTAATATGTTATTACTTCGTAGCAGTACCACAGATTTATTCCATTCAACTGTTGTTTAGCCATCATTCGTACATTTTGTACTATGACTTATTTGTGTAAATTTGGTCAGCTATGCAGCAGAGCTTCTTTTATGCCTCACAGATAAGTGAAGATCATTTACTTCACTTATCTAGGAAGCACGGTTCCAACCACAGAGCAGCGGAATGGACGAAGATGTCAAAGTCAGCCAGAATCTTTAAGGCAAGGTTAGCCTTCACAAACGTAAAAACAGTTTGGAAGTCTTCTCCACTCCACCTAAGCTTAAAGAACTACATTCGGATTTTGTTCAATACAAATGTGAAGTCAGTCAGTCAGTTCTTCTATACGCGTCAGAAAGTTGCACTGCACGTCACGAAAAGGATTTCCAACAGGACACAGCAAACCTTTGTCAAGAGCGACGACCTTCACTGGCTGGTTCCATTCTGAAAGTCAACTAGCCAGTCAGCCATCAAGAAATAATTAGCAACAGGAAAGTCTAGGTGGCGGCACACTAACCAAAAGCCAATCGCTCCACAAATAAATATGAGAAAATGGAGATGAATTGACATGGCATACATTGAGGAGGCCATAGAATGACACCGCGCGCGATGTATGCCGTAGCTTGAGTAGAATCCGGATGAGAAGCGACGAGTGGGTCGTCGATGCGATGGTGACATGGTGGAGATAGTGTTGCGAGAAGGAGGTAATGGATATGTTTTGTTGAAGCCTTATGTCTCTCTCGGAACCCTAGAGAACAGTAAATTACACAAGACATTGATTGGTTCCATGAGTTCAGACCAGAATACTTGGTGTCTAGTAATTACAAACTGTAAATTATACATTTTAGATTTTGAGGTGAATTCTACTTCAATGATTGAAACTAAGCAAAATTTAGTTGTGTCGAAATCTATTCAGAAGTATGTGAAAAACTATCCTTTCTCCATCACCATTTACACAAAAAAAGTTTCCTCCAAATCAATATGTTAAAAGAAACTATCTTCTATTTCCAGGTGCCTAGACGACGTAAAATCCATAAAAGTGCATGGAAGAAATAGAATCAAGGCTCAGAAAAAGCGTTCTAGATTTCAAATAATAAATCATAGGAAATATTCATGGACCTAACTTGAGGCTAAATAACTTATTGCATATGATTTGATAGACCGTTGCACTATTCGCATAAATTTAAAACAACCAACAATTCCAACCTGTTGAAATCTTTTCTGAATTATAGACGCCCTGGTAATTTGAAACTACATACTTTCATTAACAATAAGAGATACCTCATCAAAAGTCGTTATTGTGTAATCAAAAAACAGAGTCAATTTATCATGAATAGAAAACTCATGTAGACTCACAACGAGGTAGAGATGCGGCTACATCTAAGGAATTGTTCAAAATTTTGAATTAATTGATGTTAAATTTTATTCATTATCCTCTTATAGTTGAATGATTTGTATTTGAAGTGTTATGTCTGCAGGCTTCACACTGTAACCAAGCAAAATATTACGATACTATGAAATTTAAGTTAGACACACTGTCACGTGTTAAATTTTAATACTTAGACTGTATAAATTATTTAAATTAATCCCAGCATGTTTAGGAAAATCAAAACAAGATTTTTCTGAACGTTTCGCTTTGTAAGCCATAGCTTCTTCAGCCGATTTACTCGGATTTTTATTATTCATCAGAATACACTGTGTTAGAATAAATCACACAATGATAGTCAAACCTCTACCTCAACTTCATCGACTTCGAAAAGGCTGTCGGCAGACAACGTTGACCGAAAAATAATTTGGAAACTATTTCAACACTACGGCGAACCTCGATTCTTTATCAAACTCAAAATCTGGCTATATGACAATGTCACGTGTCAGGTGATTCAAAACGGAAAACTCAGTGGGGCATTCGAAGTGTGTAAATCGGCTAGAAAAGCCTACTCGGCTGTTATCACCTACGATATCCTCAAGTTTGGTGGACTAGATTATGTGTCAGACTGTGCAAACGGAGTGAGAAAATAGGAGTACGCTGGAAAACCATTGAAAAGACTCCAGAATATCGGAACTTAGCATGTGGATGATGTATGTCTAATGTCACATAAACTCAAAGACTTGCAAGTGAAAACCAACAAACTGGTAGCAGAGGCAGGCAGCGAAAACATGACTCACAGAGAAGATGAAGTTGATGAAGATAACCTACCAACAGCAACAGCAAGGACAAACAGCGCTCACTTCCCCTACACATAGCTGAAGCTGTCGCAATATAATCGACTAAACCAGAACTTTGTATCCAAAAAGATCACATCCGGACGCTGTCTCTACCATGGCCAAACTTGGTTTGATGATTCCTCTTCTTACCAAGAGTGCTGCTTCCCCTTAACCCTCTTGGTTTTTTCCTTTGCTTAATATTACAAATATTATCACAGTTATCATTATTATTTGTCATAATTTATGCCCTTTAAGCAAATATTCCCTCAATACTATCGAATTTTTCATGTATACGGACTTATTATTAGTGATATTATCTGTTTTCTCAATATGTATGCCTCCACCTGTTTCATTTCACATATTCCTTATTTCACTTTGTACTAGCCACTCACCTGACACCTTTTATAACTTTGAATTGACTTGTCAATTTTCCTACATCACATTCTACAAATCTATTATGATTAATCACCACCATTGTCTCCCATTTCACTGAAATATTTTCTAGTCGATTTCAGCCTAGCACGTTTGTCACGCAAATATGACTACTTATTTTGACACCCCATAACTAATCTGTTAATCTACGTTAAAAATGTATCCGCCGCATAACTGGCCTTCAACAACAAATATTGTGTTTTATAATTGTATGAACCTGAAGAGAAGGATGTATTGAAAAGAATATTCTTCGTTCAGATTGACTTTTAACTCAAAATATAATAAATTAGCCTTAATATAGTGACCTGTAGGACGTCAAATATGCGTAACTCAGACCATTTGATGAATATACTGCCTTCAGTTTCTGAGAAGGAAACTTCCCTATAAAATGACATTCCATCTGATAATGTAACTACTTCCTCTATTAAACACAATACTGAACTTACTATCAGCGCAAACAGTATCACCTTGAAAGCAGAAATGAAATCCTTCATTAGGAATTTGTGTATTTTGACATGCAGATGAGTATTCTGATTTAATTCTGTCTTCAGTAAATGCCATTTATTTGAAATTATTATTGATTATTAAGAATAATATTACTTATAAATTAACCATCAGTAGTATTATTAATCAATGTAAAAATTCGAATAATTCACAACGTTTCAAGATTGTCAACGGAAATTCGCTACTGAATAAACACTGGCTAGCGATCCAGCTATATATTGCAAACTAACATATATTTTAATTCATCCAGTAAGTCATCTGGCTCCGTCCCAGTTTTCAGTGAATGGTCAACGGCGTTGCCTTGTAACGTAAAAATCCTCTTTTCGATTCGTTGTAATATCATGCTGAAGGCCCCAAGACATTAACGGAACAGTGGTTCTCCAGCTGAAGCCATTTCGTGACCAAAATTGCAGTCAAACAAATCCCTGATAACCAACCCTTGAGTATACTAAACTGATGTCAGCTCATGATCAAATCCTCCATGCAATCAAACAAAATCCCTACAACAAACCAATACTTAAAAATTCATCTGATGCTCACTAGTGACTGGCCCTATTCAGGCAGTTAACCTGGGGTTCTAGTGGGAAGCCATGACCAGTAGGGTACAGCAGGTTGAAGATGAGGCAGTAACTCATCGAAGAAGACATTGCGAAGTGGTCGCGCTATGTCGTGAACTGGCAGAAGTTAGAATTCAAGGACCATTGGATCGGGTCCCAGTGGCTCAATGGTCTACGAGCTCGCCTCGTAACCAGAAGGTCCTGGGTTCGAATCCCGGTGGGTGCGTACTGCTGAGGAGTCCCAAACTAGGACGAAACGGCTGTCCAGTACTCCCAGGTTTTCCAGTGGTTCTCTAACTGATGTCAGCTCATGATCAAATCCTCCATGCAATCAAACAAAATCCCTACAACAAACCAATACTTAAATATACTAAATAAACTTCTGGTCGTAGTAAATGTCAACTGGATTTGGGTTCACTATGTTAAAATCATGATATGTATTCACAAATATTTGTATAACTGACATACAGATATAGCGACTTTCAGCTGGAATTAAAATGGTAACGTTATACAAACTTAAATCATTCAGTTTCACCGAAACAGAAATTTATAATAATTAAACAAATTAGGGAGACAAACTGCCTACTCAGTCTACATAAACAGTATGACGAAGGTTTTAAGGGGTTAGTTTTTTTTCTATTAGAGAGTAAAGACGAGACATTTCAGCTGACGAATCCGAAAAAGGACCGAATGCACATTGTGAATTCCACTGCTAGTCACTCACCATCAAATTACTTCAAGTTATTTGCTCAGACATCGTTGAAGCGTCCATTATAAGAGTCGATACGTCTACAGGCGCTAGAAATTTCAGTACAGTCAATGAAAAGACAAAATCGAAATTCCATTGAAAACAATTAGTGACTGGTACTCATCGCACAATAGGTGGCTCTCAAAGCCTTATTGGTCTAGTGGATAACGCTTTGAAGGGGACTTGGGTTCCAGTCTCAGTGGGAATACCATCCATCATCAGGTACATCCAGCTGACGAGTTCCAAAGTGGAAAAAATGTGCATCTTTGATTCCACGGTTAGTCGTTATCTACCTGAAAACTACTCCATCAAATGTTCAAAACTAGTTACTGTTTACAGCATTCAGTCTTCGTATTCGTGGAAAGGAGAAAAATAAATAATTCTTTTAAATCTCAAAGCTGATATCATATCACTTTTATTCATTTGGACGCATAAATTCTAACAGATAAAGTTACTTTCCCGGTATTGGCTAATTACGGTACTGAATGGTTGAGGGCAAACGGTAGGAATCTCAACCTGACCCAGGTTCCATGCTAGTTGGCACTCACCAGTCATTTATCAAGAGATATCTGAAACCTTGAAGGAACTCATGTCCTTTCTCAGATTCCAAACCACGTCACCAAGTCCTGCAGTCAGAAGCGACGTTACCACTAAGTTATTTGTGCTGGCTCGCGATTGACCTCCTGTAGGATGTATTTCATACTTTTAATTGGACCCTAGTTAGCAACTAGTGTAATGTGTCTAGTCCCTTCTTTCGCGCATACTGTACTTTATCAGTCACGTTTGTAGTGTGACCACCATGTCACTGGGTGAGTCACCATCATGGAGCACAATGAATTGTTGGTATAAGATGGATGGAGGCAATCTTCAGGGAGCCTTGACTGTTTTAAGACTATTCAATAGTTACTTACACACAATGGTGATATTTCGAACAGGTTTACTGCCATTAATCAAAATCTAAAATGGGTGTTTCTTGATGTTTCGCTATTCTGCAGGATCCCAGTTGATGATGCTTTGATATTTTTGAAACAATGGATTGAAACATTATGGTTTACCAGGATGTGAAGTCATCTAACTAACTGATAAGTTTAAGAAACAGTGAAAAGTACGTTGTTGACCTATCTGCCAACCACCATCAAGTGAATAATCAAAATTAATCAATAACTAATGAGGCTTTTGAATAAATTTCTTAGATTGATTTAGAAAACTGAAGATCCCAGGATATTAGACATAAATTTAGTTGCATTCAAACTTTTCTGACATACAATGTGTTGCCAGATAATCGCCGTCTATGATGGCGAGCAGTTTTCTTCGTAACAAGTAGGCCTGACTGAGAATATCCTCAGAGTTTAGTTAGAATAAATCGGTATGATGGCGAATACATCAACAGATAGTTGGGGGTGAACACATATATAGTTAGAAATCAACATTTGACCCGTGAAAATACTGTTTATTTATCCAGTGTTGAGCAACTTACTAGTCAGTTCACAGTCGACTTTACCTAGAAATATTATAGTTAATTGCATGGTAAATGTGAACATAAAATAAAGACACTATAGCAATGATAGAAGACACTATCAAAGATAGAAGAGATTATCAATTAAAATTACTCGGTGATAAAGTGATACGATGTCAAGCGTAGGATAGTAAACGCAAGCGAAATCCATTTTTTTTAATTCCTTCACTTTTCCAGTGGAAAGTTCCCAGGGCTTCAAGTTACAGCCTACAGTAGCTGCATTCTGTGGCTCACTACTGAAGATCGGATTACCAGAAAAGATTATCGACTACGAACTCTGGCAGTGGACTAACCAAAGATATACTGCCCAACAGAAATGCCATAGGCTATAGAAATGGAATGCACATATGCTGAAGAGACTGTCGAGGGACAAAAACAAGTGCCATCCCTGTTCCTGAACGGGACTCGAATAGTAAATAATGAGTTGGGAGTGAATCCAGGGTTATATGAAGTGGGAGAACTTCTGGGCCGTCGTGCAACCAGCTAGGAAAAAATTCGAGTAACAAGGTCAAATAGCGACGTACTGCTAAAGCTGTATGTTCCATTTAGGAAACGTGAACACAATGCTGCAGAATAAAACGAAGTCAATCAGAAAGTGAGTGACCCATTATTCTCCAGTGTGCTTACAACAGCAGAACCTATCGCCCAACGAACTAAGTTAGCCGAAAGAACGGATTCAGCAAAATGGTTTCAAGAAATTAGTAGTAATACCAAATTTATAGTTTATAACAAAATTTACTGTCTAGCTGAATCTTCCGATTAATAAAACTCTAACATTTCAAAGTATATTGGATAGTTGGAGGCAATCAGCCACAGAAAGTTTTGTACCTAGGTTCCGTGCTAGTCGGCACTCACCAGTCAGCAAGGCGTATCTACAACCTTGAAGGAATTCGTGTCCCTTCTGAGATTCAAACCCGCGTTGCCCAGTCCTTCTGTCAGAGGTGACGTCAACACTGAGCTATTCGGGCTTGCCATTGACCTCCAAGGATTCTTGCCGATTGCCTCCAACTATTCAATATCATCCAGTCAACGTGCCCCGTGATGGTGAGCTACCTAGATTGGTGGTCACATTGTGTACTTGACTGATAGAATTCAGTCTACACTAGAGAAAGGACTAGACATGTCACACTAGTTATTAGTGTCCAATCATAAAATTCAAAGGATATTTAAACATTTGTTAACCAAGCTTCATATATACATGATTTAGGTATGTTTACTTAATTTCGTTTGTCTTATGTAGTATGCCAATTACTTCAGACGTATTTCTAGTTGCCATATGTATCTAATAGAAAGGTTTTAGGCATTTTGCATATGATATTCTTTATTATGAAAGCTATTGTGCTTCCCAATGAATCGTCAAATCCCAAAGGGCTCTCATCTTGACTGTGTCCACTAAATAAAAGGCTTGCTTGGAATGTGATGCAATATACATAGACAAACATCGCCAGAGAGAACTCAAGGTATTCAGGAAATACGCACACCCTAGTGCCACCCCTGTTCGACCACAGAGATATCCGGGTGAACTATAAAAGCTTGAAAAATCATCAGCTATCTGGTCACGAAATTGATTTTGACAATATTGAAATCGTCATACAGAACAATTTCAGAAATCACAAAGAACGTCTAATATCAGAAGCACTTCATATCGAATGGATTCGGAATTGTTTGAATACGAATGATGGTCTCAAATTGGATTTGATCTGGTTCACCCCCTTCCTCCATGAAATGGTGAAATCAACACGAATGTGATAAACACATACTGCCTTTATAAATTTACACTGCTATCAAATCCAACAATCTACATATGGGCTGTTATCTTTACCAACTGGTCAATTTAACCAGGTAGGAATCACCTTATTACTGAAGAAACGATGATTACGTGATCGAGTATAAGCTGAGATTTTATAAATTCTGGTTTAATAATATTGATTTGCTAAAGATATCAGCAGTATTCAATAGCGAAATATCATTCAGAACAATATTGTCTTGTCTTTTTCATTGATAGGAATATACATAAATCCTGAGATATGATAGAGACGATTTGTAGTTCAGGTGTATGATTTTGATGTGGTTGTGTTCCCTGAGCTGGGTGGTTAATTTTTGAAGCTTTCATCGCCCTACTAGGCGACATCTTCAGCGCATACTTCAATACAATGAAGTGAGCTTTAAGATTTCCCCACGAGTTTATTGATCATCTCTCCTGGTGATTGGCCGTGATTGGTTGTTTATGTGTGTTTTCACACCTTCTAGGTTACTTGTATGGGAACTGATTGTTACTTTGACATGAACTTTGACCCTCTGTGTACAAGTCAAATTCAAAGAAACAATCAGTTCCAAAACAAGTTACTCAGAAGATGTGAAAACACAAAAAAACCAATCGCGTCCAACGTTATCAGGAGAGATGATCAATGAACTCGTGGAGAAATCTAGAAGCGCAATTCAAATTGAAGTATACACTGAAGATGTCGCCTAGTAGGGCGATGAAAGCTTCGCAAATTAACCATCCAGCTCATAGAACACAACCACATCAAAAATATAAATCCTTTTATAATAATGAGAATACGTATCAACTCCAAATCATATACAGTGTATAGGCAAATATAATTTACTTCTATGATTGTAAAATTGTACCATGTTACAATAAAATGGAAAATTTACGTACAATTTTCTTTGGTTAGATTTTCAGCTATAATAAAAGAGATGGCGAAGTGGCATTTACCGTGTAAATGTGCGTATGAAGTTCGGGCAGGCTTACCTCAAACATCAAATATCCTCATTCCCTTCGAGATAGTCATTCTGACTTTCTGCACTCATTAACAAGCTTATCAACGTGATGATCTAGAAAGTCTCTGTCAAATAATCAACGGATCTATTAACTGATATCAATCCGTCAATCAACTCATAAAAACAAAATTAATCCGTACAAACCAACTATACAAAATTAATCTGATGCTCACTAGTGACTTGCTACAGGACTGAGATTCCTGGAATTCTAGAGAGAAGTTGAGACCAGTTAGGTCCATCCAGTCAAGTCTGAGGATGGATCTCCCACCGATGTCACTCGTTGGTGGCAGTCACACTAAATCGCGAATAGGTAGAAGTTAGAATTCATAGGCCGGTCAGTAAATCGGGTCCCAGTGGCTGAATGGTATACGAGCTTGATTTGTAATCAGAAGTTCCTGGTTTCGAACCCTCTATGGTGGGTGCACTGCCAATGATTCCGAAACTAGAACGAAACGGCTGTCCAGTACCCCATGCTGGTTTTCAATAGTTCTCTAAATGATACCAATCAACTTGTTAAGAACAAAACTAATCCCTACAAACCAACAGTAGAAAAAGAATCTCCTAACATCAAAGTTGAAAATTAGAAAATCGAGGAGTTCTGGAAGTTGAAAAATGAAAAAGCACAATCTTAATAATCACAGAAGTAGGAAAGCGCAATACATGCTGAAAAAATTTGCAGCTAAATATTGTTGTATCTGCAAGCATCTTTTAATTGTCATGATTCAAAGACAGGAACATTTTAACTGATTAAAAATGCCCATCAAAATTTTGAAAAGAATTGATACTGAACAAAGAGTACTCTTTTCGATAAATTCATCACCAGGCCCTACACATACACATACATTATAGTGAATGAATGAATGAATTAGTGTTATGAACAGCATGAATGGGATTCAAATAACATTGAATGAATAATATTGATATTACAGCTGAATAGCATCAACATAAATAAGCTGAATGTCAGAAGAAATAGGAAGGATAATATTACAAATTCATGAGTTTAAAGCTTCTACTGAAGGCCAGGGCAGTAGTAGGGGCTAGCTGGACTTGCTTCTTTTGGACACAGAGTGCTGGTTGTTTGAGGTGAATAGCAATAGCCTCTGCTGTTTGGAGCCTGCTGTGCATCGATGTTTTTGATAATTTATTTGGCACCCGGTATAATATAGAGAAGGATTCATCTTCGCTGGCTTTGTGGCCTGTTTTCACGAGATGTTCCAATATCGAGCTGTTAATAGTTTTCATTACACCTTTACTTAGTCATGCTGGGAGATGTTCTCTAGTGAGCACGAAAAATCAAATTCCTAGAGCAACGGCCAATATAACTGGGTCCACGAGCGCAGTTGAATTGATAGATACAATTAGAAGTGGCTAGTCTAGGTACTTCATTCTTTTAGTCGAGGAATCACCATCAGTCGTGTCAGTCCAGTATATAAGTGGTTGTTAGTTCAGAAGGTGGAATAAAATTTATTTCTAAAATGGACAAAATCATATGTCCAATGGTTCCTAGCAGGTTTTGAATAATCGTCTCACTGAATTCAGACTATGGGTGATCAAAGCTGTAGACTAACAGGTTAAATTTTTAAAAATATTTTAGAAGCGTATTCATAGAATGTGAGCCAACTAAAATTGTTGATTCATGGTAAGCGAAAATCAGTTTACCCATCGATTACACTTTAAAGTAAATGGAACGCTAATAGTGAAGGGAAATATAATCTTAATGATAATAATAACTATTATTTTGATTGGAGACTAGTCAGTAACTACTGTGGTGTGTCTAATCCTTTGTTTGGTGTAGACTGAATTCTATCAGTCAAATTTGCAATGTTGCCAGTAGGTGGCTCACCATCAATGTGCACTTTGAACAGTTGGTATTAGATGATTGAGCTGGACACACTACACTAGTAACTGACTATTGTCCAATCAAGTATCCAATACAGTCTTACAGAAGTTTACCCGCGAGCCTGAATAGCTCAGTGGTAACGTCTCTGATTGAAGGACTGGATGACGAGGGTTCAAATCTCGGAGGTGACATCAGTTCCTTCAAGGTCCATGACTGCCAAATTGCATGAAACCTAGGTTTAAGGCTTCCTGCTGGTTGCCGCCAACCACTGAATATAAATTATTATTACTTCTCTGGATTCGAAGTAGAACAAACCAAATATCTCTGTTTTGTCCTGTCCTCCACAATCGTCTTTAGCTAGACCGTCGACTGTCCATCACTTCCATATCACATCTGGACGGCCAACTCATTGTTCCTCAATAGCATTCTACTCCAGCGCCGGTCTAGCGCTTTACCCAGAGCTCTCGTCAACGTGTGTCCCAACCATTTCCTTCCACATATTTATTGAGCAACAGGTTATTGGTTGGTTCGTTTTTATTGCTAATTTTCCCTGTGAAGTGGGCCATCTTCGTCTTGTCATCTGAGTTGCCAGAGGCAGTCATCAGGAAGCCATTAACTTGGATCTCGTATTTATTGATATTTATATCAACAAAGTTCAAAGAACTCACCTTTACACAATCCTTTACCTGCAAATAACATTTAAATTTGATTTTCAAACATTTTAGAAGAATAGAAAATTATCTTGCATGATGATGTGAGAAATTCATATTATTAGTGTAATTCTACTATTTCTGATGACTGAATTCTTTATTACTATTTTGACATTGTGCTACTGATGAGATTGATCAGTAGTAATAAAAAGAGACATAATAAACATCCAGAAAGCAAGAAGTTACATTTGATTCCAGTGAAGGTAAATGGTACAGAGTTGTGGAGATACATGCAAGACATGAAAGGAACGTAAAGAAACACAATCTGAAGACCAGAACTACCAAAACACGAAGATCTGTGCCAGCGGTATGTTGAAGATAAGGTATACATAATTTGAGTATTTAGAGAAATCAATTACCGAATCTTTGTGTTATCGTTTCCACTTTAAATGTGAATTACAAAACACCAGATAGATGTTCATAAGTTTTGAGCGCCCATTTTATTCAGCACAGTTTAGCACATACTTTTGAACTTACATGTTTCGTAATCCTCTGCTGTTGAAGCTGTGATAGAAAGGTGTACATATGTGCATAAGATTGAGTTATCTATCGATTAACTTCAGTCACATTTCTCCATTCTCAAACCTCTTTTGTAAAAATATACAATAAAGTGTAATAACAGTACGAAAAATGAAACGAAATAATTCACTCTAGTGATAATGAACGGATTCTTCGTGTATTTTGTCAGGATTACATTGACATACACTAATATATAAATACCGACCTCGTCTAATTTGCTAATTAGCTTATTTACTAGCTGATCAAAAACCAGGTCAAAGAAGAAGGGTTTGGCGTGTAGCTAGTGACTCTATCCCGGAAAACTAGTTCAGTCGATACAGAGACTTCTTGGAATCGAAGAGGTGTAATAGCACAAACTGGTGAACGCCTTTGGAAAGCCAGTCAACGGATGTTTCTTCTTTCGATGAGACCAAAAATTGGTTTATGGACATGGAAGTTTCATATAATTTTTGTAGTTAGGAAGGCAGTTCATGTCTCATAACCGATGAGATATTTTTTAAAATTTTATTTATTGATTTTTTTAATTACAGCTTGATTCACACCGTATTTTTGGTACAGGTATGAAATTCTCAGCATGTGATATCGGTAGACCAAATTTTGCAGGCCGACTATAGATGTCAGGTGTGTGTCGGCAGGGGGTCGAACTCCGGACCTCGTGCATAGTCGGTGAGATTCGTGACCGCTGTGCCATCGGCGAACATCGAAGTGTATGCACTCCGTGGATTATTATTTATTATCATTGTTTCGTTTAGTTCCTAGAGAAAAATAGGGCTTCAGCCAGACATCTCCATTGCGTTCTGTTCTCTGCCAAAGAAGGGAGACTTAGGAATCTGCAAGAACTGACGAGGAATCATTGTTTAAGCCAAGTAAAATTCTGAGTAGCATCATCCTGGAGAGAATAAAGGACGCACTGGATACAGAACTCCAACCAGAACAAGCTGTATTCAGGAAAGGAAAATCATGTTCTGACCAAATTGCGACTCTACTCTTCATCATCTAACAAAGCATGGAATAGCAATCAAACCTCTACCTCAACTTTATACACTTTGAGAAGGCCTTCGACAGACATTGTTGAACGCGAAGTAATTTGGAAACTACTCGATTACTACGGCGTACAGTGTCCCAAATATTCATCAACCCTATTCAATAGCTGTACGACAACGGCACATGTCAAGTGATCCACAACGGAAAACTCAGCGAGGCGTTTGGAATAAACACAGGAGTCAGACAAGGGTGCTTCGTCCCTCAGCATCAACAACAAAATCCAGTCGGAATTTCAATACAAACACGTCAAGTCAGTCAGTTCTTCTATGCGGATCAGACAGAAACTTCGCGGGCGGGTCACAAAGAATATTTCAACAGCCTGTTGGAGATCTTTATCAACAACTGTCTTCGCTGGCTCTATACTGAGAATCAGATGGCTGGGCCAGAAAGAATCACCAACAAAAAACTATGGGCACAAAGAAGCAAATTGAGAACCAGTCGCCCAAAAATATGCAGGAGAAAGTGGAGGTGAATTGGACACTCGGTGAGGAGGCCACTGCGCGACATCGCGCGTCAGGCCATTGCTCGAGTGGAACCCGAATGATAAGTGGCGAGTAGGACGTCAGTGCAAGGGTGACATGGAGGCGATAGTGTGAAGAGAGAGGAGTTGAAACAGTATGCAGTAACATGGATGCAGTAAAAATTACAGCAAAAGACAGAATTGGCAAGTGGAGACGTGCATTTTGAGCCCTATGTTCCACTAGGAACCCAAGGGAACAATAAATACCTCATTCGGATGATAAGTTGCCTCTAATTCCAAAGTCTATTTATTGTATTGATGCTTTGTCAAAGCATTTATACCCTGGTGTTTACTAGTCCACTGACTGATTTCGGTTTGTGGTTATTATAAACCACTTCGAGGAATGATACAGTATTTGCCTGTACAACTGAATTCTTTAAGTACATATATCATGTTGATATTCATACTTACAATTCTTTGCGCATCCTAGTGTACCTGAAATAAAGGCAAATGATTTTCCAGAATATTTATAACATGTAAAACATAGTGAACAAACTAAGCATACGACAAATCAAAACGAATCTTCAGATACTCATTAACTTTATATTTCTAATCTGATGAAATGCTGACATTCAACAAAGATGAGAATAAATCAAAATTATTTCTGAAAAAACAAGTCAAAAGTGTGTCTGTGTGTAAAATATACTGGGAGTGCTGAATTTTAAAATCTTATCGTCTATTGTTTGTACCAGCAGTAATACATTGGTGGCTGAAGACTAGAATACTCTTCACCCACACATGTAAAGTTTGGAATCCATTCTCAGCTGACATATTCCTCGCCGACATCGCTTCGCCAGTTAAAACTGGGAGGAAGGGGAAGTAGTGTGTGAGAGTAGCCACTTCACTTGGTTTTGAATAACATATACGTCATTGAGATTTCAAAGGTCGAGACCTGTGTTCCACTGAGAACTTTAGGAATAGAACAGAAACAACTTGATTTAAACTGACTAATTTGTAAAAATGTTATTCTTATTAAAGTTTATGATTTCTTCCATGAACACATACAAAGTAATGCCTCAAATGTAGTATAAATATTCATTTTATATGAATGTCTCTGACGGCAAAACACTTTTAAGTCGAAAGATACTTTGTTTATATACACATTTCATTATAGCGGTAATAATTCGACACTTACAGTAGAATGTTTGTGCACCGGTAGCTGAATAAGAAAGTGAAAAAAACAGAATTAGTTTACACAAAGTTGCGTGTACTACTGATAAAACTTATCAGTAGTATACATAAGCCGACACTCATCGGCACACAAAAATATCAAATAGTGGGGAGATAGAATTGACGTCAAACAGAGCCAATTGACCAGCATTGCAGCAAAACATGGAGGACATGAAAAGAAGACAAAGAAGGATAATACGAATGGCAGAAGAGATCCACAAACACGGAAAATCTGTACAACGAAATGGCGATTTTTAGATAAGGTGTACCTAATTTCGTCATACAGAGACACCGAATTCCAAAGGAACATTCTGTTACCAAATCTCTTGTCTTCTGAGGTTAAAACACTACTGCATTTTACGTTGACTGATGGTATCAGGACAGAAATGTACAACCTCATATTAGTCCTCAGCTAGACATTGTTAAAGCCAGACTACTGGTAGAAGCCGATGGGTCAGCAGCGATGAGACATTTCACTTCAATACAGGAACATTAAAATTACCTTCCCAACAAATATTAGTTGTGTCACAAATAATGATTGCTCTGCTTATGAATGGACTCGTTGTAAAGAATGTGACTTTACTCAATCTGTCAGTACTCTATTTTCCACATCCATAGTTTTTATTTTATCTTATTGATCTAAAAGAGGAAAGTTAGTGTGTAATCCATGTGATAATTCTCGTCAAAACTGTTAAAACAAACAAAATCGTTGGCCTTCTCTATTGATTATTATTGCTGACAAAGTTTTGATCCCACCATCTTGGCAGTATTCTTCCTCATTCTCACGTATTTTTTACAGTTGATCTTGGACAATTAACTGAGAATCTGTTGGATAGGTGTAGCTGCCTAACATCACTGTTAAGGTAGCTTTGAGTTTTAATATATATTGTTACTGTCAAAAAGCACCACTGATTTTATCTTGGATAACTGTCTGTTCGTTGTCGTCAGAACATTTGGAGACTGTGCGTCGCTCAGGAAGGTTTTGTTAGCTATACAGTAAAACGTCAGGATCGGTTTCTTGCGTTTGAAATACAACATGTCGGTTTTTGGTCACCACAGTAGACAGAGGTGGATATGACATCTGGATGTGCTTGTATCCTCATTGAGTGACAATGTTTGCACTGAGCCTCCAACGAAGCAATTATTGCTTCCAAAGGCGTAAGGTTATTCACTAGTTTACCAAACCATTTCAAGACAATCATCAGACACTATCAGATCGTCTGTAGCAGGAGTTGACACCTCAGTAGTTCAATTTAACAAAACTGATCAATGGGGAATACAGTATAACTTGGATAAATAGTAGTCTGAGGATTTCAAGAAAACTAAAGAACAAAACGAATTATGAAAAAGATAATCTGGGAACGAGCTAGTCAATAAGCTGTTTGTCAACAAAATAATAATAATAATAATAGGGAAAGGAAGATGGATCGGACATCTTGTGAATATACCACTGGACTGCATTCCGCTCAAGACCGGCTCTGGAGTGGAACCTTAATGTGAAGTGACGGATGAGTTCTGAGTCCATGTGTTATATGGAATGTATCATGCATGGAGGAGATGAGAGACACTGGGCAACCGTGGATTCACTTAAAGTAAACTTCAGAGAACAGGAGAAAATAAAGATGTGCTATATGTTCCACTGGAATCCTAAGGTAACTTTAATCGCACCCACTATTCGTGCTATCAGTCAAAATCCAGATGTCCTGTGAAACGAGATTATCAGGACCTTTGTAGGAAGGACTATTTATGCCTTAATAAATTTAACATCTAATAAACTACTACAAAATACATTTTATTTGATTTCAGTAGTACTCTTAGTAGTGATCGATCAGTGTTGATAGGATTTAAGTTCCAAAATGACTTCATGTGATTGACACCATTTCATTGTAATACTTCAGATTAGATCAAATGATATGTTTCTTTATTTCTCTTTACTAACCTTTTGAACACAGCCTACCACCTGAATTGAAATATCAGAACACAAAAATGAGAATAAGAGGGAGGTTTGGGCGCTAGCGAAACTACAACACACAAAAAATACATTAATAATACAAAAATTGAGATTAAAATTTTATTCTTCGCCCAAATCTGAGAGGCGAAATGAAACAGAGGGCTAGTGAAAGCCTTTGCGAAAACTATGTGTCTTCCAGAGATGAAAACGAAATAAGAATTGGGACTTGAAATGTCTGTACAATGTACGAGACTTGAAAGGCTGCCGAGGTAACCAAAGAAATGCGAACATATGGCAAATAAGTGCTGGATATCTGCTAGAGTAGATGGAATGGGTGGGGACTATCAAAGTTCCAAAGAAAACCTTATTCATGAACTTGGAATTCAATGGTGATCAAGCTTCAGATATGCTGAAAAATCATCTCTTTAAATGAGTCAGTAAGATGGTTCCCTGCAGAAAATTACATATGACGTTCACGAACCGCGAAATGTTCTGTACGTCCGTAAAAGATAAGCTCCCCTGTCTGACCGCCTCCATGTGCGTCTACCAGTTCAACTGCTATTGTGGAGTAAGGTACATTGGCTGTATTCAGAGTACGTTTTCCACACAGAAACGAGAACATATTCCACCTTGGTTTTACAAGGGAGAAAGGAAGTGTGTGCTAAGCTCTAATCTGGAACACCTGATCGACTTGTGTCACTCGTCAACCCTGACCATGATTTCAAGATCATATATAGAATACACGCCACCTTTTTGCGTTTTCTTCGTTACAGACCTCTGAAGACAGCTAAGGCTTTAGGGATTCATCACTTTAAGCCGGACCTTTGAGCACAAAAGAAGTATGTACAATCCCTACTTCTGCTTTGGCCGTAGAGGGATAGACATTTATTTTTGTTTACTTATTTATTCTATGTACGTTTCCCTTATTACTTTCATCATTTTTATTACTATTACCATTATTATTATAAATATTCTCATTCTGAATATTGTGTTCTTAATGCTACAATGGGAATTATTAAATTACTATCAAAGTTGTCTATTAGTGAGTCAGTAGGCCACTTCGGTCTAGTCACCTGGACTTTCGTTGTGGCACTGAGTGGCTATCATGACTAAACCAGTGGCAACCAAATCCCTAATTCCACGGGAATCAATTTCATCCTGCAGGATCATGACAGCAAGATTCAACTCCAAAGGAAGGAACGTCACAATTATGCAATGCTACACACAGTGCTACAAACAACGCGGAGCCAGTGGGGAAGATGGAAGACTTTTACAGACAACCATTAACAGTAATGGGAAACATGTCAAATAGAAACATCGAAATCCTCATGGAAGATTTATAAGTTTTCGTCAAATATAGTACAACTATTTGCTTATATCGGTTCATGTCAGTCAAACATTAATGATACATTCATTCGAAGAACCGGAAAAATGTTTTAACTGACTCATTAAAATCGACAAAAAATGAAATGTGCAAACAAACTCTGATGCTCCCCAGTGGCTGACTACAGGTCGAAGTTGTTTGGAGTTCTAGTGGGGATTCATAACCAGTGGGTTGCACCTGGTTGGACCTGAGGATGAATATTCACCATGAGTGACATTGGCTGTTGGCAGCCAAGCTAAAATCATCAGCTGGTGAATGATGATTGGGTCTCAGTAGCTGAATGGTCTACAAGCCTACTTTGTCATGGGAATGTCCCGTATTTGAACCCGGAGGGCGCGCATTGTCGCGGAATCTCTAACTACGATGAAGCAGCTATCCAGTACTCTAGGCTGGTTTTCAATGATTCTCAGAATTGAAATAAATTAAATCCTTATAAATTAAACCTTGAGAAGTTATAAACACATTGACTTATTCTTACGTCACAACACCGATCCAATTATTGTTTTAAAAGAAACATAAACTCACAGTCACTTCTAGCTAAATTGTCTGCAGTAAAATTGAATACGTGGTTGTTGTTATTAGTATGTTACCAGCCTCTGTATGAAATTTCTGATTCATCGATACAGACTATTTGATAAAGAAAACCTGAATTAACTGACTGTTACCAAAAATGGATATCATTTATTGAAACAGTTCTAAAAGGAAGAACTTTAATCTTCCATCCTTACATGTCTACGTTTTTTATTCCTTCACGTCCCCAGTGAAACACAAGGCCTCAAGCTAGTGGCTTGAAGTTTCAGTAGCAGCGGAATTTATTTTTACAAGATGAGGTTGCTAGCTACATGCAGAACCTTCAGTCTTTACCAATCTTACTACTGGCTTAGCCATGTAAAGGAGTGCATCCACCGTTGATCGAACCCCAGACCACCTGCGTGATTGGCGAGTATTCAACCACTGTGCCACCTACGCCCATTACATGCCTTCGCATGCTGATATTTTTTTGTGGTTTAACACACATATACGCAATGTTTATCTCTCCTGTCAACTTCCGTTAAATATGTGCGAAACTATATTAAAAGTTGTAGTTTGTCAATATATTGATTCGTCCCTTTAGCAAATAGGAATTCCTGTGACCTATCCTGGTATCCTCACATCATGTTGATTGATGATCAGAAAGATATTTCGTCTAACATTCTACGTAAGGAAGTTAAGATAATCTGTTATTACTATGTCTGTATTTTCCTCGACTACTGAAGAAAGACTTTGTTACAAAGCAAAGAGCGTTAAAAGCTAATCGAGGTGTCAATGCTAAATTCATGCAATGAATTAAAGAATATATTATCTTATCGAACTCCGATTCTCTTCTCTATACACAAATCTCCATATGCATTTCATCAGGGAAAACTGGTAGTCATCATGCATTACTTTGTCCTCAGATGACATTGTACATGAACTCTACAGCACCTTATTTGGTACACATTTCATGCTGTGAGTAACGTGTCAGGCATGAGAATACCAATTTACAGAGGAACTCTAAGTAGGCTCCCCATTTTTTCTTCTTTTCATCAACACATCGTTGTTAAATATTCTCGCTGAAACTGTAGTTTCATATTCACATACTTATTGAAAAATATTATCAGTGTAGACGCCCTGTTTAGTTATTCCAAACCCCTGCACTATGTGATATAAAGAGGCGATTTGATGGCATGTTGTATTACAAGTTGAGAATTCCACATTGCATGAGAAGTGCTGTTTAGAATAAAACCATTTTTCTAAAGGTTTGTTTACTGAACAAAAAATATTCTTTTCGACAACCTGATCTCCATCAGGCTCTACAGTTATATATCCATTCATAACAGTGAATGAATGCATAAGTGTTATTAAGAACAACATTAATGCTGTTTAGATAACATCAAATCAATAATAACAATATCAGTGGATCACAGTTCAGTAGCATCAACATGACAATACACTGAATGAGACAGAGAAACTAAGGAAGATAATAATACAAATTCATGAATATATAGTCTCCACTAAAGGCCATCCAGGGTAGTAGTAATGGCTGTACTTGCTTCTTTTGCTCACAAAGCACTTGTTTCTCATAAGAATCGCGACAACCTCTGCTGCTGTGAGTATGCGGTACCTGGATATTATTTGGTACCCAGCTGACGATAGAGAAAGATTTTTCAGTGCTAGCTTTGTGGTTGGTTTCGACCAGATGGTATAATATTGAACTGCTGACGGTTGTAGCCACACGTTTGTTTAGCCATACTGATAGATGTTCCCGAAGAAGCACGAAAATTCAAGTTCCTAGAACAATGGGGAGTAAAACTCGCCTCACCACAAGCGCGGTTGAACTGGTAGATAAAATTAGAAGTTTCTAGTCTACGTACTTCATCATGCAATGGAGGAAGCACCACCAGTCGTGTAGAAAATATGACTAGAAAATTACTGGCATTAAAAGTTCGTTGAGGAGATCTTCCTAACTTGTTGGCAATTATTTCACTAGGTTAGTCACCTTTGAACTGCAGTCGTATATATACAGACTGCTTATTTAGAGATGGAGAATAGTCCATTTGTACTTTCTTGGTTATGTGTTCCTAGAAGAACTTTACTGGAAAGTTATTTTTAATTAAGGTGTCATAAGCAATCCCTAGTTCATTTTCAATCACCTCTTCTGGGCAAATAGATCTAACCTTCTGACTGAAAGTCCTTACTAAATTTCTTTTATACCAGGGAGGAACGAAGATGTAAATATGTGTATATTTTGCTGTCCGTGTGCTTTTTCTATGCAAATTTCTCTTCATGCTGCAATCCGGTTTTATTGTAAGGAAAACATCTAGAAAGGCAATTATTTCTATTTTGGGATTCCTCTTCGCACATGAATTTCATAGCAGAATGTACTTCATTGAACTGAGTTATTTTTGCGTTCCTATCCGAATCATTATCACAAAGAAAGTGAAGGTGTCGTCCATATAATACCGGCGATAAAATCAGAATTTTCTGATGGGGTGGTTGTTCCAAGGGCCATTTTCTAGTTTACCTAGAAAGAAATCTTCCAAAATGGGACCCAGCTGATATTACTGATTCGATGTTATTTAAACAGCATTATTGTTGTTGTTAATAACACTGATTCATTCACTCACTATTATGGATGGATATGTGACTGTAGAACCTGACGAAGAGCAGGTTATCGAAAAGAATATTCTTTGTTCAGTATCCATTCTTTTGAAAATAATTTTAATGGGCATTTTTATTCACTTGACACTATTATTATTATTATTACTGTGATTATTGTAACTTTCCCAACAAGAACTTCAACACTTTTGTATGTTTCACAGGGTAGTAATTGATGTGATAAGATAAAGTTTAATCAAACAAGGTTGCTCTCCAGAGTGTTAACTTACACAGACTGCATTTTTCTTCACCTGTGTTTTACGATTCAATACAAATTCGATTTCATTTAAAAGGCGAGGAGATAAAGCAAAATTGATTTAGTGATAAAAATTGGGCAGCACTGTGATAGTATGTAGTTCCATATTAGTTTGTTTATTAGATTTATCCCAGACACATAGTGAAACAGTATTGCTATTTACTGGATGACAATGCTTCAAACACAATTCATTACTGTTCCTAATCATACCAATCAGTTATAATCATACGACGTTGAAACTTGAGTTTTGTAGTTTTCTTTATTCTTTCCTTTTTGTTGGAGTAGGGATAGTAGGATTTTCAGGTGTCTGAGACAGACATCAGTAACTTCAGAAATGTCATCCTGCAATTCATACTATTTCACTGTGTAATAAACAAATACTTATGGAATTATAAAGTGAAATCATAAATCGAAAACCGCAATAAAACATCCTTCTTCTTACACTTTTCGTCTGCAAAACGAAAACGGATAAAAATAAGCATTTTAGCTAATTTCAAGTGAGGTGTACACTTAGCAATTGTCGTCAAGAAAATGTCATTGGGAAAGTTATTTTTAGGCGTTTAAGTCCTATGTTGATCAGTGTAAGTTAAAGAAGTATATTCACAGTTTTGTTAGTCAAGGTGGAAGTTATCTATCAATGCATTACCAACCACTTAAGCAACTCTGTAGTATATTCTGAATAAACTATTATTATTATTGTTCCCTTGGGTTCCTAGTGGAATATAGGGCTTCAACTGCACGTCTCCACTTGCTTCTGTCTTCTTCTGTATTTTTCACCTGCATCCATCCATGTTAGTCCATACTCTTTCAACTCCTCTTCACACGATCTCCTCCATGTCACCCTTGCACTGACGTCCCACTCGGCTTCCCATTCGGCCTGGTTCCACTCGAGCAATGGCCTGACGCGCGCGTGATGTCACCCAGCTGCCTCCTCAGTAAGTGTCCAATCCATCCAATCCACTTTCTCCAGCATATTTGATGGGCGATTGGTTCTTGTTTTGTTTGTTTGTGCCCATAGTTGTCCCCATTGTTTGTGATTCTTTCCGGGCCGGCCATCTGATTTTCAGTATAAATCCAGCGAAGACAGTTGTTGATAAAGGTCTCCAACAGGCTAATGGAAATATTCTTTGTGACCCGCCCGCGAAGTTTCTGTCTGATCCGTAAAGAAGAACTGACTGATTTGACGTTTGTTTGTATTGAAAATCCGACCGAATTTTGTTGCTGATGCTGAGTGACGAAGATTTCCAGATTGGTATCAGGTTGATGAATGTGTTTCTCGCTCACCTTCCCAATTCCTGCTCGATTTGACATCCTCGTCCGTTCCAACTGTCTGTAGTTGAGAAAATGCTCCCTTCATAAGTGAATGAATTAATCTCCTTCAAATCTTTCCCGGTGATGGTGATTGGCGCTGGATGTTGCTGCTGTTGTTGTTGTTGGTTGGTTGGTTATTTTCATAACCTCCATCTTGTATATCTTCACTTGGAGTCCTGTCTTTTCTGCTGCTTCTCCGACCAGTTTTTTCGATTTTCGCTTGTAAGTCTTCGATTTTGTGCGGCATCAAACATAAATCATCCACGCACGAAATCCAGGTCTTCTTAGTTCTTCACGTCGGTCGGTTCAGGATATCCCTGTCTTCTCGTTCCCCACTGTCTGACGCATAATCCAGTCAGTCCACCACAATTAGGAATATCATTGGTGATAGTAAGCACCCTTGTCTGACTCTTGTGTTTACTCGAAACGCCTCGCTGAGTTTTCTGTTGTGGATCACTTGACATGTTCCGTTATCGTACAGCTATTGAATAAGGTTGATGAATATTTGGGTCACTGTATGCCATAGTACTCGAGTAGTTTCCAAGTTACTTCGCGTTCAACAATGTCTGTCGAAGGCCTTCTCAAAGTGTATAAAGTTGAGGTAGAGGTTTGATTGCCATTCCATGCTTTGTTCGATGATGAAGCGTAGAGTCGCAATTTGGTCAGTAAATGATTTTCCTTTCCTGAATCCAGCTTGTTCTGGTCGCATAGACTGAATGAACTGCATAGGGGAAAATGCAGTGTAGTGCATAAAAACTTTATATTCCTTAGTTTTAATGCAAATGTGGTAGATAGGTATATAGCTACATTACTTTCTGTCATATAGGATCATATCAGCCTATAAGACGCAAGTTTCATCTCAATAGCCCTGGGTCATAATTTCATGCCAGAAGTTTGATTTGCGAAAAAAGAATGTGAGTTTTTTGTAGGTATGGAGGAGAAAAATACCATTTTCAAGAACTCTCTAATTAAATCTACTAGCCATCATCAGCAGCGGATAGTAGTAGTAGTAGTCGAATCTGTTCATCAGCTTCATCAGCGACTTTGAAAAAGACTTCGACAGCATCAATTGTGAAGTAATTTGAAGTGCGCCAATCTTTTATCAACTTCACTTAGTAGCTGTGTGACAATGTCACATTTCAAGTGACCCATAATAGAAAAATCAGAGTAGACTCTGAACTAGAGACATCAGTAAGAGGAGACTCCTTGTCTACTACCACCAATGATATACCTCATTGTGGTGGAGGCTCTATGCATTCTGTTACACAAACTTGAAGTCATATGGGTGATAACCAGCTGGTTGGCTGAAGAAATAGCAAACACAGAACTTGGAGTGAACATATAGAACAAGGAGGTGACGAAGAGAATCAAACAGTTAACAAAGCAATCAATCAATAACAATAGGCATCAATCAATATCAACGGGAGAAATTTGAAAGGAATTATCCTCTCCGCTTATTTTGGGCAGTAGCCCTCCATCTACCAGCGGATGGTGGTGATAAGGATATCAAAACTAGAATGGGAGATGCATGACAGACAAAACTTCATCACTGTGAAATCATCCACTCTGAGCGTCATTAAGAGAATGTCCAACAACCATCTGATTAACTTTACGAGCAGGTGTCCTATTGGCTGACAACATACTGAAGATCAGATGCATGGCTTGTCAGAAAGAAGTATGAAATATCGACCATTCTGTTCACTTAAGAAAACCTTCTTCGCAGCTGAACTACGATTAACTTTCTCTACAAAACCTTTGATTCGAATGAGCGTGAAGGATAAGCTACCACTGTTGGCCCCATCAATGTGTACCTACCAGTTCACCTGCTCGTGTGGAGCCAGGTGTAAAGGCAGTACACAGCGTTCGCTTTCCAAATGTATCACCGAACACTCACCAAGATGGTTTTACGAAAGGAAAATCGATGCCCCCGCAGCTCTATCTTAGAACATCTGATAGATTCTGGACACCAAGCTACACCCCAAGCAAAAATTCAAGTCGTCTACAGAATACGAAGCGGTCTTCCTAAAAGTATAGGAATAGAACTTCTTCAAACTTCAGAAGAAATGACAATCCCTTACTCAGTCTTGAACTTTGCATACAGAAGAAGTTCGTTCAATGACTACACTTGTAATGGACGTAATCTGTCTTAATTAATACCTGACGGGTAAATTCTATTTTTTTCTGTCTCTTCATTAGTATTATTTCGTCCTTTCAATTGTATTATTTTACATTTTCAACTTTTCTGTTCTCTACCCAAACCCAATTTAATTTCTTCACTTCACTACCACCGTCACTGACTTGACCAACGCTCAGTTTCTAGTTATTTATGCTACGTCATCCAATCTATTTGATAATTTTAGTCCTATATTTAAGGGGCGTTATTCTCTACCTTTCCTCTACTCAATCTCTACCTGTAATTACCTCTGTTACTGTCTAATTAACCTTGTTTCTGTATTAGATCATCCATGCATCACCTAACCAATACTTGAATATCAATAAGATGCTCACTGAAGAGTGATCCTATTCAGGTAGGTAGGTAGTTACCTGGAGTTCTAGTGGGAAGTCATGACCAGTAGGGTGCAACAGGTCGGATGTGAAGACACATACTCGCCGAAGACATTGGCTAGTGGTTGCGTTATGCCATGGATTGGCAGAAGTTAGAGTTCATGGCCATTGGGTCAGATCCCAGTGCTGCCTAGTGCTCTACGAGATCACCTTGTAACCAGAAGATCCTGGGTTTGAACTCTGTTTGTGGGTGCGTACTGATTAAGAGTCCCAAACTAGGACTAAACTGATTTTCAGTACTCCCAAGTTTTCCAATGGATCTCTAACCAATGTCAGCTCATGATGAAATCGTGCAACCAAATAAATTTGTCATCTAACTTATAAACTCAATCTTACTTTATTTCCTGTATAATTAACCTTGTTTCTATGTAAAATCATTCTTGTATTGCCTAATTAATTATCTAAACTTGACAAACCTTGTGTGCACACTCACACACACAAATAATTGTATATAAATGAGATTGTACGGCTTTGTGAATGAATTCACTGCCAAAAAGAGTCTCTTCGGTGAACATCTTCTCTTTTTCATAGTTATGAATAAGGAAGTATAGGAACGAAATAATCAATAAACAGTCTGTTACTATTTGATAATACAAATTCACAAGTTTAAAATAACTTACCGAAGACGTCCCACTCTTTGGTCAAATTATATTCAAAGTTTAGTAATATATATAAGTAGCGTAATATGACTCTGTATGAAACATATTCTGGAAATATATCCGTTCAAAGGCAAATATTGAAGTGGACATTTATGAATGAGAAGTATTTACGTATATAAAGCTCATTAGCATAATAAATGGATAATCAAATCAACCATCCAAAAGAATCTTAATCGAAATTCAAAGAAGGACATAAGTGTTGATCTATTTTAATGTCCTTAATCAATTTCTGTACTTATTCTTTTTATAGAAAGATTGGTCTTAGCATGATCAGGTCAGTGTATAAATCTTTCCTTCCAGTTGCAAATTTTCAAGGAAATTCTAATATCATCTTCCTAATAATGGTGAATACCTATAGAAGTAATGTGTTAAACTGACATTAGGTCAGCTTGTTAAACAGTCTTCGTTCTGTATATATACATGTTGAAGGCTTCTGCATATTTAACATGATTACTGACTGCAAGCTATTGTTTCAAACAAATTGAATTATTTTAATTCCACTTACCAGCATTCACATAATCTGAAATTCAGGAGTTTACAGACAGATTTTAATTAATTAATATTCTATACGAAAATATTCAATTCACATTTCAAACAACTTCATAAATTTCAAGAAAATGAATGAAATCCCTTTTTCATCAAAAAACAAAAGAAATACTTTGATGCTTCAAATGACTAGAAATTAGCGTTACATTTATTGAGAATTGGACATTGAACATGGCAATCTCTTATGAAACTATCATATCTATCAGAATTTAAATTCGACGCCAGTGTATTTTAATGCTCAATAGCAGTGAGTACCAAATTATTTTATAAGGCTAAAACCTTCTTAAAAATGTCAAACAAAGTCTATGTCAACTTTATTTGTAATATCGCGTTATGTCTTAAATTGACTGACCTCTGAGATAACTATTATAGACTGTTCAACTGAATAATCTCTTTGTATATGTGTATTGAAATGACTCAAAATTAAGTCTTTTTATATAAACCAAAACACGAATGACTAAAAAATGCAGATGCTTGAAATGTCCAGTTAATTTCAAATTTAACTTCGACTTTTGTCTAATTAAATCAATCTCCATTGTGATGATAAGAACTAAGCAAAAGTCCTTGAATTGCCATCTAGCTGTTGGATATTTCCATTGTATTACAACATTTTACAAGCTTTGGAGTGCTTTAGACGAAAATTCTTTCAAATTGATTACTCACATCACATAAGAATCATTTTGTAGTGTACCTTGAACCCCTTTGAATTTTTGTCTTAACGCATTCATTTACTTTTGGCGCCACACCATCTTTTGCTTACCAGCGTGACTGTAAAGATGTGGTTCACTGTCTTGTTGTGCTATCTCTCAGTCAGCGCACTATTCGAGCTTAATACTCAGTAGAGGCATCAGATAAGTTGTAAAACATCTTTATTTATAAAACTTGACATTGGATTTGTGAAAAAATATAACTCCCTTTAAGGCCCACTTCCAGTTCCAAGTCTTTTTATTATGATTTTGTTTGTCACTACTTACACGTTAGGTGGAGTACTAATGAGGTTATTAAGCGGTGAAGTATTCAGTTAGTGCGGTTAACCCAACACTTACAATATTCTCACTACTGGACTCCAAGTCGCAGACTGTAGTAAAGCTTTACTCTTGACAGATGTAAATGTAAGAAGGGAATGAGCATCCTAGATCCTCCTTGTTGACTATTATCAACTGAAATAGCACCTTTAATACCAAATATTAACAGAAAGTGAGAATTGATATTCGAACTAGTACAGTAGATTAAATCTTAAATGTAATTTATGACATTTATGAGAGAAAATAAAAAGGAATACGCATTCATTACCATAGGCTTGTAGAAAGAGAATGACGACCAGCCAGTTGAACAGCATGCTTATTCTTTGTTTCAGTGCTTCCAGAAGAATAGTGGGAACAGTCTGAACTCTGTCTCTCTCTCTCTCCCTCTCTGATTTAAAACACAACAGTCTCTGGATGTGCATATATACACTTTTCTAGTAAATAACACATAGTAAAAACCATCTATCATGTGCTTTCCTGTGTGAGACAGGGGGACAAACTGAGATAAAAAATAACTGACAACTTCATTAATTGATAAACATGCCACTATCATTTCATAATTGTTACTCATTCTAATTTAACATAGAACGTCTGTATTCTTTGATTGCTTACTATTCATTATAAGTCATGTGAGGTGTTCAACTCTAATCAGTCAAATCACTCGAGACTTTATGTCAAAATAATAATGACTAATTTTCTTCAAAAAATCGTGTTTTGAACATTGAACAAAACCAAATATTTTAAAATAGAAAGCGATACATCGTCTACGTGCATGCTATGCTTAGCCGTGTTATTTCATCACTCGCATTTCTATTAATAATTTAATTGAGAAAATGTCATACACAGTGAGAATGTTTATATTTTTTTAGAAAACATGGAATAAACTACTTAGAGTGAACAAGTGTTTTCAATAAATTCTTCCCTCTTCAGGCTCTACAATTATAAATCCATTAATTTCAGCATACAATAGCCAACCAGCCAGCCAGTAAAGGCAAATTAGAATCATATCAGAAAGTGTATTGTGGAGCATGTATAAGTAAGATGGGATGGAACAATAGTCAGTTAACTTTTTGAATATGCATAGTCAATGAGAACATGGGACAAAATGAAATGAAGTCATTTAATTTAATGATGTTTGTGTATATATATAAATATAGTCAACAGAAAATACAGGTTTCAAGAGTGAGTGTAACCAGGCTGTGTGTGAGACAATATGAAAATAAACCAACGAATGGGGCGGTCTAGACTTAAGTTCAAGGTTGAAAATAACAACAATAAGAATGATTGTAAAACAGTAATAACGACGATGCGGTGTAAAATTAAAAGCACAGTTGGTGAATGATTGTCTAATAATAATAATAATGAATACAATGAAGTGGAATGAACAGGATTTTGTGAAAATACGATAGCGAGTTAGAAAAGCACTACTTAAACCTAAGGTCAATAGCAGAAATCATAAAAAGGTCATGAAATCATAAAAGTCAGAAATGAACGTTTGTCAATGAAACAGAGGAATAGAAGAAGGAAAAGAAAAGAAAATTGTGAAAGGAATTTATAGTGTTAATGGAGGATTTGTTGGCTTCAATGTAGGCCAAGGTAAACATAGAGGTTGAACATACTTCTTCTGTATGCAAAGCGAAAGTCTTCTGGTATTAATTGCAACCGCTTCAGCTACTGAAAGAAGACGCAGTCAAGCTCCTCTAGATAAATTACTAGGAACGCGGTAAATAACTGAAAACGACTGGTCATGTTTTATCGTGTGTCCAGTATCTACTAAGTGGGCTAAGACTGCATTATTTATGCATTTAGTTACTCCTTTACTTAACCATACAGGTATATGTTCACGCGCGTGTATGGATAAAGCCCTCTTAGTACGGCCAATGTAACTAGATCCATATGAGCAGTTGAATTCATAGATGCACATTGATGAAGCCATCTTTGGTAATTTATCCTTGATCTGCTGAATGATTACTGGTTTAGTTGAGAAGTTGAATACTAATTTAGCTGCAAAAAATGTTCTACCTACTGCTCTATTAAGTGAACATTTTAGAATGTCAGTAGCTATCTCCACTTAGTTACTTAACCTAATATACAAAGGTTTCTTATCTGCGGTATCCATCTTTACTCTTCCTCTAGGTATTGACATATATACATTTTTAGGAAGTTCTGTGGATATCCATTTTCTTGCAGTGTGAGTTTCAGTTTATGCATTTCATCTTTAATACATTCCTCTTAGTATATGCGTTTTATTCTATAGCTGAGACACCTAACTAAGTTTCTTTTGTGTTGAATCGGTGTGAAGCTATGAAAATGGATCTACTGACCTGTCAAAGTTTTCTTTCTAAATATTTTCCTTTGTAGATATCCGTCTGCTTCGTGGTAAGGAGGACGTCTAGGAATGGTGAACTGTTATTGTCTTACTCTTCACATGTAAACTGAATAGTTGGGTGAACACTATTAACACCATTCAGAAGCTCTTGTTTATTAAGATTTCTATCACAGAACACAAAAGTATCATCTAAGTATCGATAATAGTAGTCAAGCCCTTTAATCGTGTCTTTGAGTGAACCATTTTCAAGCTTTGCCAGGAAAATATCCGCTAACATAGGGCCCAGAGGTGATCCCATGGCTACACCATCAAGAAAGAAAACTTGGACGGGTCAGTACACCCATTTTCATAGCTTCACAACGAGGTAGGTAGGTATGTAGGTAGGTAGATAAAGGAGGTTGCTACTTTCAGATTTCGTCCATTTATGCTGGTTGTTTTGTCTGTTGTTGGCACTGCTACTGTTGTCCAGGAATCTTCATCACCTCTGTTTTCTTTATGTTCATCTGAAGGAATTCCCATCTTCTCTGGATGCTTCTTCTGTCAACTTGTTGCTTTTCACTTGCATATCTTCCAGTTTGTGGGAAATCAGGTAAATATCAACGGCGAAGTCCAGATCCTTCAACTACTTTTTGCTTTGGTCCATTTTATGTCTCTCTCCTCGTTGCCCACTGTCTGTCTGTCACATTATCCAGGCTATGGAAATCATGAAATCATTGGAGATAGTAGACGGCCAGTCTTTTCTTTCTCCCGTCTTCACTTCGAAGGGTTCCATGAGCTACCGCTGTGGATTACTTGGCATGCGGCATTGTAATACAACTGTTGGATGAGGTGTGGATAAATGTTACTGGCACCCTGTAGTAGCGAAGTAGTTCCTAAATCACTTTTTTATAGACTCTGCGCAATCGAAACCCTTTTCAAAGTCGATGAATTTGAGTGAGGTAGAGGAGTGACTGCCATTCCAAGCTCTGTTCAATGATGATCCGAAGTGTTGTGATTTGATCGATCCTGAATCCAGCCTGTTTCGATCAAAGTTTTTCACCCAAGGGCTTGTTTGGTTCTCTCCAGGATGATTAGGCTTAACATTTATTTTATTTATTATTTTTATTTTGATTACAGCTTGATTCCACACCGTATTTTTGGTACAAGTATGGAATTTTAAGCATGGATATCGGTAGCCCAAATTTTGCAGGCCGACCATAGATATCAGGTGTGCGTCGGCGTGTGCTCGAACCTCGGACTATGCGCATGGTCGGCGAGAGTCCTAACCACTGTGCCATCGACGCACACACCGATGCTTGGGATGAACAGGAGTATAATGATGGGCCAGTTCTTGCATTGAACTAAGTCTGATTTTTCTAGCCGTTTGAATAAGTAGCCTTTCTTCCAATCTGCAGGTACCTTACCCTCTTTCCACACCTTCTCCAGTTCCACAACTTCCTGGCAAGAAACTCAAGAGGTATAAGAGTTTTATGTAACTGAGTAAATGTAGTATGCCCTTCGAAAAGCGCGTCAAGGTCGCTTTTAAATCACACTGTTTAGGTAATGCCAAATCTCCATATGTAATTATCGTTAAATAGTATCACAAATTTTATCTCAAATAACTCTGCTTTTTGATGCTTTCAGAAGACTTCAAGACTGCGCCACTCAAGGAATTTATGGTTAGCTATATATATATATACGGCCACCTTCTTGAAATTTGGGCAACCAAAAACCTCCATATATATATTGGCATTTAACAAAATGTTGTCATATATTTCTTGAAGGATAAAAGTAGAAATTCATAATGGTGGATTGATTCACGTTGCAGGTCAGATGAAACTATGTCACACGATCTACTGTCATCAATTAATCTTTTATTTGAAGATTCTGGACGAAGAATAAATAACATGACATCACAGACCAGGCCACCCTTAGACTAGAACCTCGCCAAAAGGAAGTAATGGGTCAGGCGTTCATCCGAAGGTGACAATGAAGAGATTACATGAAGAGAAACCAAAAGACTCTGGACAGTAGTACACTCGGAGGATTAAAGCGATGACAGAGTAGAGAATTCACTGGAGATGTGCTTCTAGAGGCTTACAATTCACTAGGAATTGGAAATTTTAGAAGACAGAATCAAGTCAATAAGATAAGCGCATACACATATTCACCAGTGTCTTGTTGATTAGAACTGTTTCATTCTCTTGAAGATGTGAAGTATTACTACGGTGAATTTTAGACGAGTTTCTTGATGCAAACTCCAGCGTATAATAAATAGAGAGAGCTGTTCAAAGCAGTTGCATCACACCAGTTTTTTATGTAATTATTTATGTCCCAAACAACTGGTTGACTGACTGATTCCACTGTAGAGCATTCCACAGACTTGCAGCAGTTCGAGTTGTCACACTCTATTCCACGTAGCAAGACACAAAGCAAGAGAAGATTAAGAGGAAAGAGAGATTCAAAAGAGAGAGATGATATACGGAACTGTGAGTGAGGCGAAAAGAACCGTTACATGGAAGAACAATAGAATTTTATTGGATATAATAAATCACTAGGAGTGGATGCATTTGTGTCAACCATTGAGAAGGAATTTTACCCATATCATCGATTGTCTGCAGCTAGTGGTTTATATCATCGCGAGGACTCCAACCAGTCAGGAAGTCTACACCTCCCACAGTGGCTTGCTTAAACTAAGTGTTATTGATTTGATCGACTGATGAAGCCACCACTGATCCTTTTCTAACCTTATGCTATGTCAGTCAGCTGGCATTTCCCGTGTAACACATGTCCTAACCATCTCAAATGGTGTAAATTCACAACCTCATCGATCGATTTCTTCTCCTACCTCGCTATCACTCAACCGAAGCCTAACCTCAATATTGCTCACCTTATTATACCGCTTAACATGAGAGATAGGATGCAGACACCTATGATCATAGGCAGATATCTAGGCTTGTCATGTCTTCCACTTCAAATACCCATGCCTCACTCACAGCCATAAAG